TCTTCCCGCTAACGTTCCTAATGAGCTATTGGCTGTGGTCAATAATCTTGCGCAGACAACGGAAGCCATAATGGCGTCCCTAAGAGAAGAAAATCCCCAAGCAATTCCCGTCCTCGCTCCCGCCGTAGAAACCATCGAACACCCTCCCCATCTTTATACTGCATTTTCCGCCACCCGCGAAGAAATCGCTGCTGACCCAAACCACCAGTGCCTTTCGCACTACGAGGTGCAAGATCTAGCCGACGCACTGGCTACACTCCATATTCATCCCCCGCTCGTCATCCCGGACTCATTATCTTCGCATACCTTTACAGATGGGATCGTACCGATACAAGCGTTGGGAAGAACCCAACCTGCCACTCCCGCTGAGCTAATCGCGGAGGCAGAACGACAAGATGTCGCAGTCCACCATCCTATACGACGAACCGCCCCATCCAGAAAGAGAGTACGAGGCCAGCATTCCCGTACTAATAAAGGGAAGAAACGCGCTACCAGCGCAGATGAAGCACTTAGCCCGAAACCGGGTCCATCGCCCTTACGAGCGACCTCCTCTAACCCCGATGAGAATCATGTTTGCAGATACTGCAAAACGCTCGGGCATAGGCAAGTTCATTGTCCCGAATACTACTGCCACGTCTGTCGAGAATTATCTCCAGGCCATCTTTCGCTCTACTGCCCACACTACACTGGGGAATCCCCCACCTCCTTAACCTGGAAGGACGACGGATTCTACCAAGTACTCGCACTCTGGGAGAATGATTTGGATGACACATATGCTGCCCAATGCAGGGAAGAAGAAGCGCTCTACGAGTTAGAACGCATGAAAGCCGGACCAGACGAAGGTCCAGATGCCCTAGATTACTCGGATGATCCCATTTACTACGCTAATCAGGATGATTGAATCCGGTGGCTTCAACCCTAGTGAGGGGGTAATGTTACAAGAACTCTATTTCCTTTACTTCTCGCGTATCTGCCATTATGCCCTACATTTTCCTTAGCGACTTAACTTTCCTTTCTTGGTCTTATTTCCGTATTCGACTCTTGTACTATCTTCTCACCGTAGCCCTGGTCCGTGCGCATATAGTTTCCTATTTAAGCACGTGTACTTTACTTAGGAACGTCACTTCAATCTTACTAGGTTTTACCCAGAAACTTCCTTCGCTTAAGACCACCAATCTTAAGACATCTGAATCGATCTCTTAGTCGAAGCACTCCTTTGACTAAGTCTACGAACCTCTTCTTATCTGAAGAGCTATACAAATCTCAACAACGTGAACGCTCTATCGAGCCTTTGTTGTTAAGAACTATCCTAGTTCATAACAATGCTCGTATTCCTCGCTGACGACACTGATGAGTTCGTAGGGGGTAATGGGTGTCTGTGTGACTCTCGCTGCTGCGTTTATCGACGACAGCAGCGGCCTATAGGACTCTGGGAGGGAGCCGATGATAATGGCGTAGAAGTCGCGATCCTCGACATCTGCGCCCATTCCAGCCAACGATTCGCGCAAGCGTAGGAGCTCGCTCAGGTGAGACTTCGCATCCCCACCCTCTTCACATCGCAGATCCTGGAGTCGGTGCCTCAGGTCTATTTGGACGAGTTCAGTCTTCCCTTTGTGGATGTCCCGAATCTCCTCCCATATTAATGTAGCGCCCTCGAGCTTCTGCACGCGCAGCAACAGTCGATCCGTGATCGTACTGAACATCTGCTGCTTTACGAGCACGTCCTTTTGGAAGTACTCATCTATCTTCTTGTCTAGATCGTCGACCTCCGCCTGGGTAGCTATGGAGCCATCCGGCTTCGACGCAACACCTGTCTTTGCATCCACCTCGTAGGGGATGGGTCGTTTGGCACGGCCATCGACATAACGCATCAAGCCTCTCGCACCTATCGCCGTCAACATGCGTTCCTTGTAGGTTATCCAATTGCTGCCATCTTCGGCTAACTTTGGAATGTTGAATAGTGCGGACGTGGTGCCGGGGAGCATGGAGTCAGTAGCCATGTCAGGGCTCATAACCTGTAGACTTTTGGTGCGAGCGGGACAAGAGAGCAACGACTAGATAGGACAAATGATCTCAGTCTTGGGGACAAGCACTCTGGTATATTAGATATGTACCTCTGGGCACGACGGAGTATCGGGAAATGAGTTGGCGGACCAGGAGGCCAAGAAGGCAGCTAAGGCGCGGGCGGAATCCAGCCCCAGGGGTTCCCTACCACCATACCTTCGTAAAGGTGTCCTCCCAAGCAGTATCTCGGCGCTGAAACAAGCGCAAAAACGCGAATCGTCTGACCGTTGGGCAAGATTCTGGCGAAAGTCACCCCGGTACGAATGCACCACCAAAATCGATCCTAAAGTCATCCGTGGCTCCTTCATCTCTCTCGCCCAACATCTTCCTAAACGACACGTCAGCATGCTTATCTGGCTCCGCACCAGACATATCTCACTCAATCAGCACCTATTCCGTATCGGCAAGAGCCCCACACCTAATTGCCCGCACTGTGAGAACACGGAAGAAACGGTGCTTCACTACCTACTCTCCTGCCCCCATTACGCGCGAGCGCGCCACATACTTACTTCAATCCTCCATCGGAACGCCTCCTCCCTACCATTCTTACTGTCTAACCAAAAAGCCAGCGCACCACTCATCCGCTATGTTAATAGCACAGGCCGTCTGAAGGCTACATTCGGTGACGTACCTCCTCCAAAGTAGAAGAGACAAGTGATGATTAGGTTTCTTCGAGCAGATAATGCCAGCACAATGTTCACCCTCGTTAACAGGCGCAGGCCGCCTGTTCACGAATCTTTACTACTCGAAGACGACGGAATGCAGGACCCTACCAGCGGTCCGGATGGAGAACTTAGCAAGGGGTCATAAGAACGGAAGTGGTTCACAGCTTTCATTTAGAAGTGGGGGAGAGTTCAACGAGGGAAACTATACATACTACCGACAACCCAACGCTCACATCAGATCATCAGCACACCGGTAGCACGATAATCAATCCCTCCCTCATTCCTTTAGACTCCGCTCTCCATTATTCCTCTCGTACCCGGTTTCACACCCGAGTATTTGCATCATCCACAACAAACGACAGGGACAATCATACCACGAACTGCACTGCAATGGCCCTGCGGATTGGAAGACTTGCGCATCTAAAACGGCCGGCGGGAACGGCGGACTGGTGGAGGTGGCCTCCACCAGGGCATTTGCGAAGTCGGAGACACGGCGGGGGACACAGGTGTCCCCCATTCCTAGTTAGTATTGTCCTACATAGGGTATTGTACCCCACATGGACAAAAATTGGATTTAAAAAAAAAAAAAAAAGATATGTACCTAGATAGGACAAATGCTATTGGTACTTGTGAGCTTGGTAAACGGTACGAAAACATTAAGTAACTTACATCTCAGTCTTGGGGACAAGCACTGAGATGTTTCTGCAAACGACGCGCTATTTTATCATGCGGGAGAATCGGAAGAACGAGGAAAGAAAAACTAAATGACTTTAAGACATTGTACTCGGCCGATGTCACAAACGTCCGCATGACGGATGCGCTCGTACCTTTCACTCCGGCGTGTCCGACGACTCTACTCTCGACACGCAAGTCTCTTCCAATTTCAACAAACGGTCTCATCTTGAGGAACAAATTCGCATTCTTCAATCGGAACTATTCTAATTTCTAATGTGACAGCATCTGCAAACCTTTTACTATCCAAATCCATCGACGGTGAAAGACGAAAGACATAAATCGGATGGAACGGAATGGTCGTTGTGTCCTTTCTTACCTCACTTAACTCTGTCACAGGCGAACATGGACATCAGAGAACTGGTGAACAAACTAGAATGTCATATATAGTAATATATAGTCCATAATCACAAGCATCAGCATAATTCTGCTATCGACCATCACATTATCATATTTGACCTTGTAGAGGAAAGAGGCGTTTTTGATGTCCCTAAACCAGCTCGTGATCGGGAAAAGACCCTCACATTGCTCAAACTCAAACTTTGAGGGCAGGTGGAGCAAACGCCGATGAACAAGCAAGATGGATTCCAACTACCATCTTGGAATCACGGGCTATAATGTCGAAACTAGGCATAAAAGCGAGCACCGTCCAAAAAACGACAATGTGTTTACCGATCAGCGATGATACATTAATTGCCTGCAAATATCACGGTCGAGCCAAGCGAACCTTAACTGCCATGTTGGAAGTAATATTCATAACTTGAAAGCTAAGCGGGAAGGCAAGCACCTTCCGAAGAACAACCATGCGTTCACCAAGTGAACGACAATAAATTTGTACCCCACATTGAATTTTGACGCCATCTGTTTGAAATGCTTGATGTTCGTAAATCATAGGACCACTGTCCATGTAACACTGACGGCAGGCACTTTCCGGAGAGTGACTTTGTGTTCATCGTGCGACCAAGAATTAACTCGTGTTCTCCTTAGGATTTTGATTCCATCTTCTTTAGATATCTAAGTTTGGCCTGCCATATATCGGTTGGGAATCCGTGCGAAAAAGTGTTACCCTTGCGCAGCTGCCGTGTGTGTTCATGCTACAGCTATACACACCACCTGCTTGCAATGGCTAGTTTTCTTCAGCTGTTGGAGATTTTTTCATGTAAGAACAAAGGTTCGTATCTTTCAGGCGACGAAGATGTGTTCATCGAGCGAGCGAGTCTCAATTTGAGTCCCGCTGCAGCTATTAACGACGTCTTCCTGAAATATCTAATGATTCCATACTATACATTGGTTGGGAATATGTGTGAACATGCTGCACCATTTCGCAGTAGCACAGCATATGTTGATCAAGCAGGAAACAATCAATTCATACGATACCTCGAGTATTTAGGCAATCTAGTTTGGGCGAATAATGACTAGCATTGGTATACCAGTTGTGACTACGTCCAAAGAAGTCGCAGCTGTGCACGGACATTGTGAATTTTTACATAGTACTTTAGAAGAAAACTTCGCAGCCGAGGGTAATGCCTCACTTCGGTATCACGCATTCCATTTGACAGCCTCCCAGTGTTCATCCCACAGACCATTACGCTCTGCGCCGTAATTAGCACGAGACCATAAAAAACAGAGACCGTCGTGGTCCTGCTGTAGGTCCTGGATCCAGCTTATCGAACGTACGTAGGCGTATCCGCGAACTGGTGCCAGAATTGTGCTATTGGGGTGGGTGCTCTGAAATACAGACATAGACATGGTCACGCTGTACTTACCGGATCTAGCTCATCGAACGTACGCGGGTGCATCTGCAATTCGGTGCTAGAAGTTTGATATTAGTATGAATACTGAAAAATACAGACACGGGAATGATCGCGCTGTACTTACTGGATCCAGCTCATCGAACGTACGTAGGCGTATCCGCGAACTGGAGCCAGAATTGTGCTATTGAGGTGGGTGCTCTGAAATACAGACATAGACATGGTCACGCTGTACTTACCGGATCCAGCTCATCGAACGTGCGCGGGTGCATCTGCAATTTGGTGCTAGAAGTTTGATATTAGTATGAATACTAAAAAATACAGACACGGGAATGATCGCGCTGTACTTACTGGATCCAGCTCATCGAACGTACGTAGGCGTATCCGCAAACTGGAGCCAGAATTGTGCTATTGGGGTGGGTGCTCTGAAATACAGACATAGACATGGTCACACTGTACTTACCGGATCCAGCTCATCGAACGTACGCGGGCGCATCTGCAATTCGGTGCTAGAAGTTTGATATTAGCATGAATACTAAAAAATACAGACACGGGAATGATCATGCTGTATGTTCTGGATCCAGCCCATCGAACGTATCCACGATCTGGTGCTCATATACTTATGATGTTCCATGCGTTCGTTCCACGAAAAACAATTATTATGATATTATATTGATAGAGAATAATAGTATGTACTAGCACACTACAATTGTAAGCGAGCAACAGAGTTCAGGGTGAATCAAAAGTGAGGTCGTCACGCTGTGCTCTCTGCCTTGCAAGGGCATTGACAGACATGTTTTCCTTTGCTGCAGTACTGATGTCGTCACGGTAGTTCCTTCCAAAAACTTTCCTGAACAGAGGACAAGTGAGTCTTATTGGGACAGCGGGAGCGGTACCTAACGCACCTCGTCCACCACTCCAGGAGTCTGTCGACCCTACGATGGGCTTCTCGACCAGGGGCCCGTTCGAAGAAGTCTACGATAGTGCGCCAAAATTGAACGTAATCAAAATCCCCATCAACGGACCGCCACGAAGTGACAGAAGAGAGTGTGAATCGAACCTGAAAATTTGGTCATCATCTCTATCATGAATCTTGCCAAATGAATTTACCTGGCACGAAATGTAAGCGATAGACCGAGGAGTAACTTTTCTCATCTTGATGATCTGCGCTACGTGTTTCTTGACTTTGACACCAGCAGCGGATTTCTTAGCGAGTCTGTTGTTTTGGATGACATCGGCCCCATCACCATCGCCCTCGATGACCTTTGCGGAGGAAGGCGACGTGAATACAGCTTTGTAAGCCTGCCAAAACTTGTGAGATCACTGTAAGGTTACTCGGATGCGACAAACCTGAAGAAGAATTTTGCCTTTAAAAAGCCCCTCCTCCAGATCGTCCGGGTTGGCGGTGTATTTGTCATATAGAAATGCCGGGAAGGACAGATCCGTCACAATATGGCCATCAGTGCGATCTCAAATACCTGCCCTTGCGCTGCTGAACAATCAGCGTCTTTTCACAGCATGCCGAGCATACTACTTACATTGGGTTGTTCCAGTCAATTTCTGCTGGGCAGAGCAACCTACCACATGCATCGTTGATGAACCCACGTGAATGCTTGTCGTCAGGGTCGACAGGGGGTTCTGGCTTGAATTCTCAGTTTACCCATTCGGAAACGAGTGTCTTGAGTTTCGAGGTATCGTCACCTCGGGCGCCGTCAGCCCCCTGCCGAAGCTAAAGAAAAATCAGGAATGTGACAAAGCCTATCATCAACACGTAGAAAACCAACCATTTTAATCATGTGGACATACTCGTCATACTCCATCTCTACGGCCTTTTTATGGAACCATGGCAGGGTATTGGTGAGAGTGACGTACCCTACCTGCAGTCGATCTTGGCTATATAAACAAGCGCATGTTTAGCAATCGCAGACTGACTTGAAGGGAGAACGAATTACTCTACATTGACTTCCTCATCACCACCGGTCAGCTCGTATCTTCGGTCATTTTCGGTGACGAGATCCTCAACGTTGTCGAACAAAGAGACCACACGCCGGATCGCCCTTCCTTGAGCCATATATTGGTTCGATTGCCTGATCGATGATGAGTAAAGCCGACTTCATAGGTGGAATAAGTGACTATACCTTTCTTTTAATGCACGCCCCGCCTCGAGAACCTCCAACTTTTCCTCCAATTGAGCAATTCTGCGCCTTTGTCGAGCCTGTAGAGACGCCGCCGCTGCCGCCGTGAACTCTTGGCTGGGCTCGCCCTGCTGGCCCTCCGAGTTCAATTGTGCCGTGCTGCCTTCGTCCTCTTGGTGCTCCATGTGCTCCATGGGTATGAAGAAAAGATAAAGCGAATCAGAAGGAAGTTTCTCGAAGAAGGGAAAGGTGCGAGATGAGCTTGGTTCTATCCCAGCTCATCTTATATAGTGGTCGGGATCCCACCTCCTGCGACTAGCCTATAAACGCATAATCCTATTTAGGGAATCGCTAAATAATAACGTTAATACGATGCCTTTTTAGGGAAATATTGACGACATACGACTTTATAAAATATCTCACTAGTTTGACGGAGGAGTCTAGTGATAATGGAATAGACTAATCGTGTCGGATTGCATGAAATGTTGATGTTGTGGTAAGAGAGATAGGTGTGGACGGGTGAGGATGACATGTTAAACTTGCCGTTGGACCATTCAAGGCAGCCGGCCTTCGTTGCTTCATCGATATTGTCCATGTGAATCGGTATGATTTGACGGAATCTTGAAGTTTACCTGCCCGAAGGAGTGCATGACAAAGTTTCTGGTGTGCAGTGAGCCACATTGATTTGAGATTCGAACCGAAGAGCTGGACAAGGGACTCGGTTATAAAAAGAATTTCGGATGTGTATCCACGTACCACTACCAAGTCCTCGTACATATAATGAATAGGTAAACTCGATAAAAGCGCGCTTGAGTTGAGAGCGGCAGTAAAATGGCCAGCGGCTTCTTCATGACGTGTGCCATCCAAGGCCTCGATTCCGAGTTGAACACGCAGATATGCCTGATGTGCGAGTTGCAGATATCAGCGTCGATGACCAAGTGTGGATGATACTTACTTGCACGACACAGCACCCAAGAGTATCGGCATTCGGACAACCAGCAGCAAGGTCTTTGAAGAGCAGGCTTGCCTCGCCATGTTGACCTGCATTGAAGAGGGCGATAGCCTGAGATACGCGATGAAGCAAAGGGTAATATGTGAGGCAAATGTAACATACTTTGATCAAGAGCAGTGAATAGAGGATTTACGAATCTTGGTCTGTGTACAGTGATGCGACATCAAATGCTGCCCTCCCATCCGGGACACGGCCTTTTCCGCAGAGGGCAATATGTCGCCGTCGAGTCAGCCTTTCGTAAGGGGGCCATGATCAGTGCATATAACTCACCTTGATTGCATCCTGCAGAGCGTTGTCCCAGTCGTTTTGTCGAGCCGTCACGGATGAGCGATGGGCGTAGGAAGTGTGGTCGTTCACATTCCTGTTGATATCTTGCGTGAGTACTAGGTCTTCGGCGGTAGATAAGTCACCATCTGTGCATGCATCGCGGGCTGTCGTGATGGCGAGAATCTGTATAGGCCGTTATCATATCCTCAAAATGGTTTAGAGTCTCCAAAGTACGGCTACATAAAAATACCACTTACAAAAGTGTTGTTCCAGTTATAGATGATACATTGCTTAGATCATACACCCCGCAAACGAATGTAGCCACGTTTCCTGGAACCCTTGCGCCCAATGTAAGGTTAGAGTGTATTTGCAATTCCAGCGGATGACGTAGATGATAATGATACTTACTACAAGAATACCCAGAAGGTAAAAGCTACCAGAATCAGGTCAAACGAGGCTAAGAGTAGCGATTGGATTGGATTGGTGAGTGATTAAGAACACGGTGGTTTGGAATCAGGTTGATGCCATGAACTTTTCGATCGCACATCTCTTGGCTCGAGCGGCTTCAATGAGTCACCCTGTCACAATTGATACCGTGATGTATCAGATCCCCGTTCGCATTTCGGTCGTGTGTAGTCATATCCTATGACATCGCCGCTAGAGATGGAGAGAAGACACATCGCCACATGAAGGAGAAAGTCAAAATGTGTCTCGTGATTCGCGGTATTTGAACCTGCTGATTGGCTTGGTTACTGAAAAGCCTGGGCATAGAAGATAGATTACTTTCCTTCCACATGCTAGACAGCACGAGACAAAAATTTGTACATCTCCAAGGAAGCGCATCTCGTGACAGGTTGAAATCAGCTGTAGGGCGATGTACGCATTTGTGGAAAGCTGCGAGGGTTTAGTATGAGGACTGCTGGCATGAACTGTGTAGTCTGGATCTAATGTCAGTTCGTAACCTCGCAGATGCAAACACCGTCTCCCTTTAGGTTTTTCTGCCAACAGGAAAGCATGAGCGCATGTCTTCTGGTCCTTAAGCTGTGTTGCACTTACCACAATTTCATGTCACGCGACAGATGAAGTGATAACATTTGCTATCGCGCTTCCGGAGAGCACGGTATGTGAAATAGACAGTCGGCAAGGGCCTTCCTGTACAGTGTAACACGTTTCTCCAACGCGTCCCTGAACGCGCCTGGAACGTGAATCTTCCTTATAAGGTGAATGGGTGACTATCTGCAGGCTCAAATAGTGCCGAATGGAATGGAATAAGTAGAGCCGAATTTGCAGAACAATGTTGTGTACATGCGATGATGCATGATGGTCTGACCAAAAGTGAGTGCCATTTCCTGACAAATTTGATTTCCAATAAGTCAGATAGCAGCGTCATTTCATCCGAGCACGAACCGAATGGACCGTTCTTCATACCTTCAAACAACAGCCTCGATTACGATAGATGTGAACATGCTCGAGTTGTGATACACGAGTCAAGAATGGAAACTTGCCGGGCATAGGAAATTTGAGTTAGGAAAGTCCGCAGTCTGGTAGTATTTGGCAGTGTGCGACTGCATGCTGACTCATGCTTGTCGGTCAGTGACGTCAGTCACGGTGGTGGGCGTGCAAGGTAATAGTACGTATGCCGAGGTTGATGTAGACGTGTAATCAGGTTCGAGAATAACTAAGATATCGAACATTGGTCATGTAGTACGGTACTGAGTAACAGATGTGTGAAATATTTCGAGACAGACGTATGAATACAACTGCAGAAGTCAAAATCAAAGGTCAAAGACAGCAATCACTGAGCCAATTGAGCCAATCTAGCCATAATAGCCTTCTTGAAGTCCTCCCATTGCTTCCGCAAAACAGGGGACTTCTCGATCGTCTCCTTAATGTAATTCATCAGTCTCGTATACAAGTCTTTGAAAGCTGCGCCCGAAAATTCGGCATCAGAGGATATTCTGCCCCTCACCCTCTCCAAGCCACAGCAAACTGCAGCAGCAGCAGCGCAAGCGAGACTATTAAGATCCTCCAGGTACCGGAAGAGTTTGAGCTCCTGAGCAGTGTCTAAAATGACGTTCAGAACTACCTCATTTTCAAGGAAATACCACAGGTTGTCTGCGCCCAGTCTCATGACAAAATTTGGGGGGAAAACCCGATCGTCGAGGAGGTGTGCAATGACAACTTCCTGGTGCTCACGTTCGGAACCTTCAGACCATATAGGAAGACATAAACTGAAACCATCCACGACGAGATTGCAGGCGTGTTTCCTGCAGCACTGCATGATTCTTCTGCACGTTTCGGATAAAGTCAAATATAACGTCCCCAGATTGTGCGACGCCCATTCGGCTCCTTGCGCTATCGACGCATAAACGAGACGTCAGTCAAGAAAGAGGCAAGGCTTACCCTTCATGACTTGTGTAGCTGCTCGTGTCAGCTTACTTTCAACTAACTCAAGTCTGTCCGCCTCATCCGACAACGAACTGACATTAATGGCATGTTTGGTGATTTCTGTCTTTGCAGACCTTACGATATGCCTGTGGTCCCTGTTTTTATCGTTGTATATGAGATGAGCTTGCGCCATATATCTGGCCCCATGCTAGAATTTTGTCAGTCAATAGGTATTTGAAAACCGGAATCACTTACGTTTCCCCTCCTTCCTCGTCGGTCATTCGGCCCCCTGTAGAAAAGGAAGGTTCTGTCTTCTTTGGGCATCGTCGCATTCTCGATGGAGTTTCGCATAGGCTCGTCGTCGGTATTCGGTGGTAACAACACGTCCCTGTCCTTAGAAAGGACCGGTTGAGTAAATTCTGGGATGAAAGCATTGAGGTTTATAGGATAGCGTGGTGTGACAGAGACGATCTTGGAAGGCGTGATTTGAGTAGGTTCGATGTGCACAATATTATCATGCATCTGAGACACAGAGTTATTCACATCCGGAGGGGACATATACGCGGGAGCCTCTAGGTTAAACGGATCGTGTATGGGATTGAAGGAAGGGTATGGGATGTCAAGAGCGATTCCTTGGTTCGGAGGTAACTGTGGCACAGATGATATATCGTCATCAAGCGCCAGATTGCCTGCAGATGAGGAACTAAAATTTTCGTAGAACTGCGGGTTGGCAGGCAGCAGTTGATTATCAAAGAGGGATGGGGGTGTATGGACCTGAGGGTAGCTTGGAATGTGCCATGGAGATGGCGTCGGCATCACTGGCATTCCCTGCAGGTATGGATTGGTGGATGGATCATAGCGGTGTTCAGAATAGGCGTCATTATGGTCATGGTAGATAGGGACATCGGCGGGGGGAAGCCAATGACTCGGCTGGGGAGCAGAACCAGACGCATGCGGCTGAACAGCTCCTGCATGCTGGTGACTGTGCGCATGTTGCGACAAGGAAGGGCCAAGTTGCAACGACATCGCAGTAGGGTCAAATCCTGCATTTCGTAGCATGTCTGAGTCAGAGTCATCATGATTGGGGTATGTATTGCCAGCCAGCGGTTGGCCAATGCTAGCAAATGGCTTCATAATCAAGTGGTCAGAAAATGAGTTAAATCAAAACGGCGTGAGCCAGTTTTGAGTAAGTCGGAAAGTATGACTTACTAGTACCACCAGCGACTCGGATGCGAAGCAACTACGATAGGAAAGGCATCAATTCTCGACACACGTAAAATCATATGCAGCAAGTTACATGAGGCACACGCCTGGAATCCGATAGGGTGATTGGGAGCAGAACAAACCATTCAACCTTTGAGCGAAGGATAATATTCGGGGAAGTATACATCAAATCAATTTCCTAATAAGGTAATAGGACTTAATGTTACCGACTGTAACCGACAATTACAATCATAGACCAAATAAGGCATCAGACATATGCTTCTAATAGGAGCGATGACAAGGTACGAACTATGGAACAAAGTTCAATATTCAACTCTGGAAAGACACGTACAGGCTACACGTGTTGAAAGCCGCTGGTCTGCTGATTGATGCCGGTTGAGACCGGGTTTCAAGAAGTGCATGTACGTGCACTTGGCAGGGAAAGTGCAGCGTTGTAGTAATTAAACCCTTCGCACCCTCTTTTCCCAAACCCCAATTAGTCAACAACGACTCATCTGAAACGGAGACTAAGGTTCGAGTGTGCTGAACCGGTTTGAAAATTTTGCAACATTTCTCCCTTACCTCCCAACGTAATTCAAATACGTACACTACCTCGTCCCTCGGTAACGCCACTAGGCTGGAATCCGCTCCGGGGATCGCATCATGATATATGCCTCGCGGCTGAGTCATCACCCCCATAAGTTGTACCTAAATATCTCATTTAATTTACAACTTAAATCATTGTTACTTATCGATTTTTGTTGAAAGCGGACAAAGTCACGCTGGGTGACAGCCAGCCGAGCGCTGCCGTGGCGGAGTTCTAAACCAATACCATCACTGGCTGCGACGCGTGACGACGTGGACATTACCTTGCGAAACAAGGTGCCATCATTAATGTCATCCTTGCTTTAAGTCTGTAGGTATCCGTTTGAACCCATGGCGGCTTTGAGACACAATAAGTATAACAATTTCATAGATGTAAAAGAACATTGATCACAGGACACGTAACGTAAACAGCGAGACACGAACTTGATGCTGTGGAGAAATACATGATGTAAATATAAGTGTGAATGGGCAAGTATCTTGATCTGAACACTCTGCCAGGAAATACGTCATTGCAAAATGTCAGAACTCTACGAAACCAAACTAGACATCAGTGACCATTGGGCCGTTGGCAGCACAATTTGATGTATCGCCCAAGTTGTGGATCGACTGCTTCAGCTTGAGATGATCTTGTAAAAGATCAAGCTGAGCATCAGTCTCCCGAAGAGATGTCTTGTTGCATTGACGAGTTGCAGTGAGATACTCGACATCTGCCGTAGTACGGGAAAGCGTCTGCTTCGTGACAAGTGCTTTCAATAGCCCTTGTGTTTCTCGTTCTGTTCTACGGAACTCCAAGTCTGCTTCGGCATAAAGAGATGTAAGGAGAGTGTGCAGCCTATTCGTTTCCTCGAGCTCCCAGTACGTTGTGAAGAGGCGCATACGTTGGCATTCACGAACAGCTTCCTTGTAATGAACAATATAGCAGCAGGATGCAGGGCTAAGCTCATCCATAAAATTTAGAAATACATCATTGCTCTAGGAATTCAATGCATATAATGAGAGTTATGTATGACTTAAATTTAGAGGTGCCTACCTTGCTGTCCGGAGCTCCCAATTGATTGTTGTAATCAGCCTGCAGTCTGCCTAGTTGGCTATCAAAAGTATGAATATCTTGGAAGCAGGGAGGCTGGCGTAAAGGATGAAAAAAATGATGGTTGTTGTTGCTGTGATGCTTCGCTTGATGCGATTCGGCTCCACGAGAGGTGCCAATGAAAGGGTAATGTGCGCCGCCTGAATATTTGGAATCAGGGGTCGAAGGGAAGCTATCCTTGGGATCTGTCTCTGAGACTGTGCTCGTCGTCGCTGTCACTGGTATATAAATACATTTACACCATGTTACGAGTGGTTTTACCTCTTGATGACAAGGGAGAATTTGGAGCAGGACTTAGATTACGACCAGCATTGCTGAGACCATAAGGACGTTGAGGTGATGTAGATAGTGGTGTGATACACGAAGTTTCGCATGGAGGAGGAGCACACACATTCATGTTTCAGCGTAAACTCGGAAGGTGGGTTGTCTGGGGGAGTTCACCAGAAAGCGATAAATAAACCATTCGGACTTTCAAAGACCGTCTTATTTCCTTTTCTCTGCTGTTCTGGGAATTCAATATTCACATCGGGCAGGAACTAGTACGATGTTGGGATATTAGTGATTGCCAAATTTGGCATATGCGGAGATTGAACACTTACTGGCTCGTGTGATGACATAGAAGCACTGGCAAACCCTGGGAAGAGGATCTCGTGAATAGACAACGATTGGACCGCTGCTCATACATCATGATGTCGCGATTCCTGTACGGCGAGGGTACACAGAAGGGTCATGGTATCCTCAGGCTGTGCGCCATCCCGCACCAGAGGGCCCACTCGATTTCAGGACCCAAACCTTAATTGGGTAGTGCCATGACTCGTCTATGACTAGCCTGTGCTTGGCCTTGAGGACTCCGAGTCCAAGTCATCGGTTCTCTGATTAGTAGGACACTGTTATCGTGATGCTGACCTTTCTCAATTAGTTACCCAGCTTAGCACAATGAGAACAAGTCTGGACAAGAGCCGCGGTGTCCCAATCCTAACGCGAATATTTGGCAGTGAAAGACCAGTCACACAGTGACTAGGGTATTCAAATAGGCTGCCTGACATATCTGAGTCACGGCATCGTGGCATAGCCGCAATCACCTACTATGATTACTACTGTAAATAAGCATCACCATCGACCCACTAGTCTAGTTACTCACATGCAACCGTGACCGTGCCTCTCCATGCCCCCCAACGCACAACACCCCGCTGTAGCCGTCCTTGCCCTCACGATGCAAATAGTAGTGCAACCTGGAGGGTAACGCGAAAACACTCGGGCTCGGTTTGTCCTTCAAAAGGATGGTTCACATGAGGCGGCCATGGACGAGGCTGTGTTACAGAGTCCCGCTGGTACTAGTCGTAGACCCCAGCACCACTCCAGAATCAGTTCTCTCCGTGTCTCTCTAGCTGGTTCTTTTGCTACCCGACGAAGTCGTAGATCTGAGCGATTATAGAACGCAATAGAACAGGGGTTTGGTGAGGGCAGCGCGTGTCATGCCTATGAGTGTTCCATTATTACGATTACCAATTTTGGTATATGCGGGCTGAGTTGTGTCATATTAGGCTAACAGCTACAAATTACATATTAATAAATCGCTGCTAATGTCGCTGAAAATTGATCAAGCTCTGAATTTTATTCAACCTAGAGGCAGACAAATTACAATTTGTGAGTGGATATGCCGTCACCAGTAACACAACTATAAGAACTTACCAGAGCCAGCTTTGAATTCTCAAATAAACAACAGCTGGCCATGTCTGACCGTACCCATTACGCGAATACCCAACCCTCTTGGATCGAAGACATGATGGCGCATGTCCAAGCTGATCGACTGTCCGAATTTTCCACATGTGGCGGCGGTGACGACGTATCGGTTTACTGGGAACCAGAATGGTCATCTTTCACAGACCCTTTTATAACCAACTCACCAACAGATACCATCCTCCTTCCTTCGTCCTTCAAAAATCTTCCGACCCTTCCATCATCCCCTACCGAGAGTCCCAGCGCTAAACCCTGTATGCAGCTCGGTGACACTGATGTGTCGCATGAAATCAAATCCTCTGTCACGGTATCAATCAATGTTCCTGCCAACGAGAAGAGGAGGTCTCGTACGTTTCACACCCGTCATCGAGGTACTGCACTTGAGCAGTTGCAAACTGTCAAGCAGTTGAGCAATAATGACATAGCGGGCGTTCGCATTGGGCAACCTGATGAACCGAAATCTGTGGTTAGTGACAGCAGCCTTGTTTAATTGTGCTATACTAACGAGAGGTCAGCAAACCAAAGCCGGTCATGTAGGGGCCATACGAGTTAGCACCACCAGCACTCGTCAGACTTGCAAGAGGAAATTCGAAGATGACATCAGACACGACTCAGATACAGAACAGATATCTCCGAATCCCGCTCCAATTAGGAAGCGCATTTGCCGGGAGAAAACAGGTACAGACTGGCAGACGGTCCTCGACATAATTGAGTATGGTGATGAACGAAGTAGGAGTGGAAGAGCCCTGTGATAAGGTGGTGATCGCGAAGGTATGGAGGGTTTTAGTTTTAAAAGGTTTGGATGTCAATCATAGTAGGCACGCCAAATATTTTCATTTACACCTGAGAAAGTATTCACCAGTCGTAAATTCGCGACTGGAGTGCGATAAGGTGCCTGAAATTGGTGAGGCATTACAAAATCATGGAGAAATGAAAAAAAAAACTTGCCTGGCTCGTTGAAATGCTAATTCCACGAACAATCCAACGGTTGGGGGAAGTTCTCGAGCGTCTTTGGACCAAGCGAGCATCACTCGGACTTGCTCGATTGTGTCTTGGGTTGCAGAAGACATTGACTGGACCAGCTGAGCCTCTACGACAGATGTCGCATTGATTGCACACTGGTGATGTATTTATTTCAATTAATATTGGTGGACTCGATAGAAGATATGCCTCACAAAACCCCCACTTCCTGTGGGTGTTCTACGACGAGTGAGTCCGACTGAGTCGTAGCGCACTCGCCCGATGTCCACCAACATCGTTACTGAAATCTGTGGCCTCCTAGAGACTTCGAATACAAGAACCAGCCGCTTGAGAGGTGGCTCGTGATCTTGAGGCTCGCAACACGGTGAGGCTTTGGCAAAGTGCGAAAGCTGGTGGTCCGTCAGCTCGAGAACCTCGACCTACAGCCTATCGACAAGATCAAGATCTATTCTGACTTCAAGATTAATGCCCAGCTGCTGATACCATCATACTCGACATTAGCAAAGAGCCCCACGCTCCCTTCTTTATCAGAGGCTGCAAAGCTTGACATCGAAACGATTCTCAGGCTCATTATGGTGAGGGAAAGAGCGTTGCAGAAGGCGGCAGAGGATGGATGCCGTTCACCGACGAGTGCGAGCGCTGGGGATGAATACGTCAGAAGAACCATATGCGAGATCTTTGGTCTCCCCAACTCTTTAACGACTAAGCCGTTAAAGACTGCTGCTGAAGGAGCTCCCGCAAATGGGGTTCATGATACCACGGGAGGCTCGGTTCCGATATTAGGGAATCCCACTCCGGGGGAGAGGAAGAAGAAGAATGCCAATGCAAATGGCACCTCCAATGCGGTGAGTGACTGTTGTACATTCAAACTCTCGTTTACTTAGTCTGCCCAGAATGGTCAGCATACAAATGGAAAAACATTCTAAGGTACGCTGCAAGACATTTTGTTGACACTGGGCTTCTCTCGTTAATTCACAATACGATCGTCCATTCAGGTATAAGAATATGCGCTCGCAGTAGAAAGCAGTCGCACGAGATTTTGTCTTGCATGTAGGCGAAGGGAGAAGTTCGCGTAGGCGCACATGTACTCTCTGTGGATATATTGGTCCAGTGTATATTGTGTGTACAGGTTGAAAACATTTGGACGATACTCACCAAGCAAGGAATTCAACTCTCTGCCTCGATTTTTTTCCGTACTTGGTAGACCAGTCAGTTGGCTGCTGTGTGTGACGGCAGGAGCGACTCACTTTGCTCCAGATCTTTTCGTTCCCATTCACCACTGACACCAAGGTCTGCAGGCGTTTTTCGGCCCCATAACACAGCCGTCCATCCAATGTTAGTTCCGTCCTTGTCGGGAGACTGTTTTCCCTCTCCGTGTATACAGGCAAGGTTACGCGACTTCGTAATATCTTCGTCAGATATAAGCTTGCCCGAACGAAGTTGCTCAATGAGTTCTTGCAGAATGGAAGTTTGAGCCTTGAGCCTTGCTCAGTCTTCGTCAGCTGTTTTTCGCTGCCACAGTAAGTGCATAGAAATTGAGTTCAAGGCTGTTGAGTATAGTATGTGAAGGATATACTGAGTACCAGACATGATGGAAGAGAAATAAGTGTACCGCGGCAAATGCCGCACTGTCGCCGGGCAATGGGCATCGATGCACATTGTATCGAATTCGCTGAAGGATCGCAAGCAGCTACTAGTGATGACAATCCACACATGCGCAGAAGAGTCAGCTTATAGTATAGCAGACAGGATTTGATGCGAATCTGGAAATATAATGACTATGCAGGCAAGTGGCAAGTGACTTTTTACTATGTGGTAATAAATGTCAGGCAAGCCATCATCGCAGTAGGCTAGAACTCGATGGCCATGAGTTGACAGTAACACGACTAGCAACCATGGTAGCTTGAGTGGGTCGAGTGGAAATCAGGGGATCCGTCACCTCATCTTCAATATGGGACAGTGCCTGCGTTGGGCTGCATGTAGTATCGCTCGTTCACTTAAAAGTGCGATGCGCGGGTCCACGACCATGGGTCCCAGATAATGCGCCGTTCATACATTTAAGTAATACACCCAGACCAAGGTAACCCTCTTGCTGTGAACGTGAATCTGGAGCTTGACCAGTAATGCGGCATGGCATTCATAAGTGGTCTGCTTATTTGCGTACACACCTCTTAGTGGACACGTATGATGACGTGCACAAATAAGCTACACTAACTGTATCGCCTCAGTCTGGTCGAGACAATATAGGTTGTAAGCTGCCAGCCGCAACTGGCTAACAGCAGGCTCGAAGACTCCATCCTGCCCGAGTTTCATCATGATTTCTATTTGAAACGTGATAAGCATAAGATTGTCAACTGACGGGGTATGCATACCTGTGGGTCTAGAATTGGACCACTTATCCAAGACGCGAGTTCAGGTTTATGTCCAAAGACTTGCGAGAGCGAAGTGCAGACTTCATCGCGTGAAACAGGCTTGCCGTCCATACAAACGCCTTTCGTCGTGATCGAAAGTTGCTGTTTTCTATTCCCCGGCGTGGTAACAATCAATGTCAGCTCGTTTGCGGGTTCTGCAGTGGATAGGCAGCAATTTTTCACTTCCAGTGCATCGCCCCGTAGACCAAAACTGCCAAACCCTTCAAAAGTCGCAAGCTTTGGATGCCCGATTGCTTTTCGGGTTGACGTGGTCAAACCGCCTTGTGGACGTGGTGGAGTCAGCCAGATCCTCTTTACATTCATTCCACCTTTCATGCCAACCATAGATGCCACCCAACCTCCAAACGCGAGATGCATAAAAACTAGACCAGCACGCTGGTCGGGCGGAGTTTGCACTGTGGCTTATTGCCTATAGTGTTGGGGTCATCGGGTATTGCGGGCTCGGTTGGTTCCACAGGACGCGTGAAATAGTTCCAGGAAAGCTCACACATTGCTAGTCTGCACACCATTGAAGTTAAACCAGCGCGTACAAAATTAGAAAAACTCACGTGCAGACCGCATCAGCTATGAGAAGTGTCCAGGTAAACTTGATTAAGATGCTGGGGTTCTTGAGTTCATAAAACGGTTGTCCTTTTGGTATTTGGGTTCCTTGAGCACGGCCAGGGAACAGGAAAAACCACCTTGAGCGATGTGCAGTGAGAGTAGATCGGTTGCAGTGGACTAAAGCTTTAGTAGTCTTCCCGGTCACGTTCCTATGCTGTTTAACTCGCTTGCATCCGGCGTCTTCCGCTCCAATAGAAAGTCTGCTTTGATTTATGTAAGCTCGGATCACAAACTTGAACGTTGGAGTCTAACTGTGACTGACATTCATGTCAGCTAGCTTGATATGCGCCTTTTTGAAATTGTATGGACTGCTTTCTTCTTATTTCTTTTAATGGTCTCTTGTGATGCTCCGGGTTGCCCTTGGGATAGGCCGACGGACTTTCGAGGACTCAGTAGACATCGCGCCAGCTGCCGTTTCTTTAAGAGAGTCAGCACTCTTGCGAGTGAAAGGAGACGAGGTCGCGCAAAAGATTCTGTCCTTTCCAATTTTCTTCCAAACTCTTCGGCGACTACATCACTCTCAGCTGTTCGACATGTGAGGGACGGCCCGACTCTGAAGCCGGTTGCCCCTCGCAGACTCCTAAGGTCGATGTCTATGGCACATGGGCTAAGCCGTGCATCCAGTCCCGTGTACTTACAGCACTCAGATGGGGGACATAATGACCACACTGATTTTGAGATGGGGAGTTATTCTGGAAACATGATGGACCATCACGATACCTCAGGTTGGTGTCTTCTTAGGTGGCCGCTTCCGAATTAATGCATTGCCAACAGGAAACCAGACCTCCAATGGGAAGGCAACCAGACCTCAAATGGGACGAATTCCGAGACCTCTCGATCATATCGAACATTTGCGCGATGACCTCAATCATTCTGACAACGGTGACGTCCAAGTCCCATCGGTTGAAGGTTCAACTCCCCTTTCCGCTCGGTCACGAATTCAACGTGTTATTCTAACACTAAGGGATACTCTTCAAACGGCGTTCAACTCGTTTAGCCTCTGCAGATTGTACCCTCGGCGTCCTTCGTTTGAGCCAGATGCCTTCGTCCCATCCATGCTATTTGCACGCACATCCCCATCAGCCACTCCAACAACAGATTCCCCACCGGACGTCTTGCCGCCGCCTCACCCATTCCCCAACATGACCATATACCGCCTCATGTCCTGGATGAACTCGGGTTCTAACCTGGTATCTGAAACTAAGGTCTCGCAACTGGTCAGGGAGGTGATGCTGGCCGGGGATTTCGACCTAAAGCACCTTGATAATTTCTCAGTCAGGCGCAGCTTGCAACAGTTGGATATGGAGAGCGGGAAAGGAGTCACTTTCCCTGATGACTGGATTCAAACGAGCGTCAATATCAACATTCCAACGAAGTCACGGGAAGACAGCCCTCGCCCTTATACCATCTCTGGGTTTCATTATCGTCCTCTTATTGACGTAATTCGCGCAGCATTTGCAGATGTCCAAGCATGGGCCTTCCATATTCTACCTTTCCAACGGTTGTGGAAAGACCCTTTGGACGGCCACCAGGAGCGGATATATGACGAACTCTACACATCTGATGCCTGGTTGGAGGCTCAGGACGGTCTTCAGAGGCTACCGAAGCAGCCTGGCTGCTCACTGGAGCGTGTCATCGCAGGCCTCATGTTTTTTTCTGATGCCACCCACCTGGCAAACTTCGGAACTGCGAAGGCTTGGCCGCTGTACCTGTATTTTGGAAATCTGACCAAATACGCACGTTCATCGCCTCAATCAGGCGCATGTCATCTTGTTGGATTTTTCCCCTCAGTAAGTTTAATTGAACATAGCATGATCTCTACTTCTATTGACACATTTAGCTTCCTGACAGCGTGAAAGACGTTCTGAACGGCTTGTCTCGTATATCGAAAACTGGCATTGCTTCTCTCCAAACTCATTGCCGCAGGGAGTTGTTTCAAGCATGCTGGGAAATCTTGTTGGATGAAGATTTTATTGACACATACCGCCACGGTATTGTTTTGAAATGCGCTGACGGTGTGCTGCGCAGGGTCTTTCCCAGAATATTCACGTATTCAGCTGATTACCCTGAGAAGTATGTTGTTCTACTAACTTATGAAGTTAAATTACTCATCGCCTTGCAGGATTTTAATCGCGACGATCAAGGACATGGGTTTGTGTCCGTGCCCTCGCTGCGTTACGCCGAAAAACTTGTTCAGTTTCCTTGGGCTAGTGGGAGATATGAAAAGACGTGTAACTAACCTTCGAGCATACGCTAGGGCAAATGTTGTTAAGGCTCGTGATTTTATCTATGGATTGGGAAATACGGTAGATGGTGCTAAGGTAGAAAATGTGCTAGGGGAAGGATCATGGGTACCGACTCTGGTAGGCGGAACGCCTTCTCTTCAATTTTACGATCTGATTCAGAATATCTGGTGGAAGAATCGTTTTGTAGATAAGCTCGGACACCTCGGCCTCGACCCGTTCAGAATGCTTGTGGTCGACTTCATGCACGAGTGCGAACTGGGCACCTGGAAGGCGTTGTTTACACACCTTTTAAGACTTCTTCATGCCCTTCCCCAGGGTAGTCAGCTTATCGCGACCCTCGACAGCAGGTACGAGTTTATACAGAGCGTTATTGTCTGCTGACCAGTTGGTAACTTTCATTTAGATTTCGCCAGATACCAGCGTTCGGTAACGGCGTGATTCGAACGTTTTCAAACAATACCTCCGAGATGAAACGGTTAGCAGCGCATGACTTCGAAGACATTTTACAGGTTTTTTTCGGGTCACTTATTTTCTGCATCAGATTTATTGACATGCCCTCTGTTGTCAGTGTGCTATTCCAGCCTTTGAAGGGCTATTCCCCGC